TTAAAATCAGACATTACATGCATTCATATACAAATACATAAACCTATGTATGTATGCATATTCTCTCTCACTCACTTAATCACTCAATCACTCACAATCACTCTCACTCACTCACACACTAACATACAGAAACAATGTATGTATGTATGTACATTAATACATGTATATATAGACATACATGTGTATTGTGGTGTGTGTGTGTGTGTGTGTGTGTGTGTGTGTGTGTGTGTGTGTGTGTGTGTGTGTGTGTGTGTGTGTGTGTGTATGTGTGTGTGTATGTGTGTGTGTATGTGTGTGTGTATGTGTGTGTGTATGTGTGTGTGTATGTGTGTGTGTATGTGTGTGTGTGTGTGTGTGTGTGTGTGTGTGTGTGTGTGTGTGTGTGTGTGTGTGTGTGTGTGTGTGTGTGGTGTGTGTGTGTGTGTTGTGGTGTTGTTTGTATGTTTGTGTGGTGTGTGTATTGTGTGTGTGTGTATGTATGTGTTGTGCGTGTATGTATGTGTTGTGCGTGTATGTATGTGTTGTGCGTGTATGTATGTGTTGTGCGTGTATGTATGTGTTGTGCGTGTATGTATGTGTTGTGCATGTATGTATGTGTTGTGCATGTATGTATGTGTTGTGCATGTATGTATGTGTTGCGTGTGTATGTATGTGTTGCGTGTGTATGTATGTGTTGTGTGTGTATGTATGTGTTGTGTGTGTATGTATGTATTGTGTGTGTATGTGTATGTGTTGTGCGTGTATGTGTATGTGTTGTGCGTGTATGTGTATGTGTTGTGCATGTATGTGTTGTGCGTGTATGTGTATGTGTTGTGCATGTATCTGTTGTGTGTATATGTGTTGTGTGTGAGTTTGAGTGTCAGTATGAATGAGTGAGAGTGAGTTGGAGTATGAGTGTGTGTGCATGTGTATGTATGCATATATATATTCATATAAGCTTATATATCTTTCCATCTATCTATCTATATGCATATACATATACATGCACACATGCATATATACATAAATACACATGTACGTACACACACACACACACATACACACACAACATTCCAGGTAAAATAATAAGGAAGCACGGCAATCAATACGGAAATTATCCTACTCAATATCTACTTAAAGAAATATTGTTTATTTAAAACTTTAATACACAAGGAAGAGCAGATATATAAATCACACATACTGTGTTATATATCACAAACTATACAACTGAGAACAAGCAACCACCCTAAAAAAATTCCTGTTACTAATGATCTTCAGAAAGATAATACATGATTTTTCTTTTTAATCTTAGGCAATACAGCCTGGGTTTCATGCAAAATTTCCTCCTTTACAGATTATATATGCATCAGGCAGAAGCTCATACATGAATATTTTGAATAACCAATGTAACCTTGACCTGCCATTGCTGCAATATGGTCAATGTTAGAAAAAAATAAAGGTTTCACTAACCATCCCAAGAAATGCAAAATATCAATAACCAACCATACATGTGGGTGTTATCCCCTGCGCTTGAACCAACATAATTCAATAGCTGTCAATCACACCTTATGCAAAAATGGTTCAGGCCACTATGTCTGACTTACTGCATAGCTCTCCAGATCAAATCTAGATTCAAAGTCAGTGCTATTTCTTTATACATCTATGACTTTTGTAAAACAAGTATCAATTCTATTGATTCAATTCTAGCGAAGATAAAATAATAAAGGGTCAGCGGAAAAACCTGCAATATTGACCAAAATAAGAAACATATCAACTAGCAAAGTGTAGTCCCACATACCACAAATGCAATGCCAAAGTCTTCCTTAACATATAGCCCAATATCTAGGACCTGCATTTGCTAAACTGAATGTTGTTTTTCACTACACAATTAAACCAGATGATCTGAAATTACCTAAATTTCAGCAATAAAATTGAATTAACTACTGAGATTGATAGGTTACATTTCTTATGATGGATAAATTTCACACTACTTTTATATATATATCAGTCAATGGTTTTACAGATATAATTATACTACCTGTGTTCTATCAAAATGCCCACAAAACTTGTTATGATCTGTAATAGGACTACATTTCTGAGTCCCACCCAATAATTAGTGGCACTGTCTTCAGCTGTCCCCATACCTTCAGCACTTACGAAATGATCAAAAACCTCCATAAAAGAGGTCATGGGACATCGGAACCGAGTTTTTCTTTAATAATGAACTCGTACTGAGGTCAAGTTCTGTTTCCAGAATACAGGGTAGAGGTCTCATGGCCTTTCTTTGAGTACTGAGAGCCACTAAGCCAATAGTAAGACTATCTTCTAATAATTTGTAAATCTTATTCCCTTATTTACTGTTGTTTTAAAAATCAGACCATTCTAATCTAAATCTTGCAACAACCAGCGATGGAAGGAATACGACCTTAAATCCAACCCAACAGTGGCACAGTGCCAAACAGTAGCATTAACCTTCAAATCTTTGATGCTCAAGCAAACACCAAGAAACATCCACTCCATT